GAAAGATGAAAGAAAATGGACTAAAAGAGGTTTGAGTGTCTAAGCACAGTGTGGTGATTCCACTAAAATCTTGATAATTTAACCAAATTCTGCTTGTGCACACAAGTATGAGCAACAATTAAAAGGAAAGAAGAAAGAAAGAACAACTGCTCTGTGTGTCTTCAGATAGGACACACATTCTTCATAAAATTTACATGGAGCCATAGTAAATAAAACATGGTATGCACTAGGCCAGTAATAACCAAACAATTTGATATCATGTGAAGTTTTACCATTTCTCTTTCATTTCTTAAAATCAATTAAAATGTAATTTTATTTTGAGAATATTGAAAAATAATTTATAGAGAACTATAGCTCTGGATGATGATGCCCACTAATAGCAAAATGCAAGAAAACAAGATCCCAGAGTTCTTCAGAATGATCTCTTAAAATCTGCTGGAGACATGCTGGGGTCAGGCTTTCTCAGAGGCACTGCAGATTCCATTTCTGCCATCTCTGGCTATCCAAACAGCAGTGCCAGGCTGTAAGACATAGAAATGCTTTTCCTGCAGACTGCCTCAAGATCCCAGGTGCTGTGCAGACAGAGGAAGCTGCCTTTGACATCCTCTGCAGAGACCACTGTGGTGCAGCAAAGGGGTGGGGGCAGAGATGGATCACTGCCCAGCTTGCTGTGTGTGCTCAGACACTGCTGCCCATCCCAGAGCTACAGCCAGAAGCACTGGCCCAGCCAGGAGTGCAGGAGGATGTGGAGCTGGAGCCAAGCAGAAAGCTGTGGTGCTGCTCTGCATGGCTCCTCTGGTTTAGACAGACAGGGATCTGAGTATTAATGTTACACATAGTTGCAAAGATGAGGACAAAAATTGACCAGAAATACAAAAGGACCAGAATTTCATTAAGGAGGATAGATTTATTGACTGTCTAGACCGAAGGTAGTTTTGTATTCACACTTTAAAAGTTTTAATTAAGGTTTACACTTATACTGTCTAGCCATTCCCAGGTTACTTTTATGAAAACATTAACCTTGACATTTTGACAACTTTTTTCCTTTCATTTAGTCTCTCATTTAAAATTGTTTTCATTGTCTGTGGTTTAGTGATTCCCTTGGTTCGCTTACACAACCAAGCCCTTTGAAGAGTGACAGCTCAGCGTGCCCAGTGGCAGCTCCCAGCACAGCTTTTAATTCTCAGTTCACCTGAGCAGTGGAGCTCTGCCTCTGTGGCCCTGCACCAGCATCACACTGGGTTTTGCAGGCAGAAATGTGAAATTTGCCTCCACACCTGCACAGTGCACCTGTGAGAACAGCACTGTGGTGCCTTCACAGCTTGTGGGAGCGGGGGCTGGCAGAGGATGGGGGGCTCTCCCTCACCTTTGTGCCTTGGCAGGAACTCCTGCTGTCCCTCCTGCCATCACACACACACACAGGTCCTGTACCTCCAGGGCAGTCTGTTTCTGTAGAAGATGCTTCAGCTTCTGCATGGGAGGCCCTAAGCAGTTCCCAGTAGCTTCTCTCCTGTGCTGGGATTAAGCAGTACAGCATGCAAAGATTCCTGACAGTGCCAAATGTGGATTTGGAAAATCCAAGTTCAGCATTGCTGTATCAGGAAATGCCCCAAATCACCAAGACATACTTAAACTTTTCTGCCCCAGCTCTCTGAAGATATTTAGGCAGAAATGTATGTAACCTGTGTATGTTTGCAGTGATGCAGGGAGGTGCTGTCCTGGAGAAAATGGAAATGGAATGTTTCCATGGCTCACACCAATAAATAAACCCTTAAATTCTGCTGGTGTATTTCTTCTCAGCTGATTTTCTCTGCAAAGTTGCTGTGGTTATTAACTCATTGGAGCTCACAGGGGATGAAGCAAGACATTTGGGTGTAATGGCAGCACTTGGATAGACAAGTAGAGAGAGAGGGAAGCTGTTTCTCTCCAGGGAGACAGGAGAACACATCGACTCTTAAGAAAGGAATAACCTTCACCTCTGCATCCCTGCATTTCTTTGTTTAAGACTGTATTGCGTTGGGGAAATTCCATTCCAATCCCACTGACTGCATGTGAGAAACTGGTCTTTCAATTTCAGTGGAAAATAGGAAAATGAAGGGGTTTGTTGTTTGAAACAACAGAGAAAAACTGATAAAATGGCATAATTCAGACCAAGCTCCTATGGAAGGAAGGAAATGTTACTGAAAGAAATTGCCAGAGAACAGAAATGCCTGCAGAGAAGCAGGAATGTAAATAGTGTGGTTGTGCCCCACCTTTCCTGTAAAGGATTCCTGCATGTCCTCCTGCTTCTCTTTCAAGTATTGTCCAGCATGGTGACTGGATAAATTAAGTTCCCTCTGGTTCCAGTGGTAGGAGTTCAAGATGAGAGCACCAAGTCGCTTGCTCTTACCAAAGGTGATTTTCTAACTCGAGTGTGATCAGAAACTAAACATTTTACAAAGTAGGGCTGCCCAAAATCTGAGAGATTCTGCCTCATGTAAGGCCAAGGGGGAAGGAAGGTTGGGACTGCATTTTTAATACTGTTTGGGAATCCAGGTTCCCAAGACAGGCAATGCACATCCTTGTGAGCACGAGGGAGCAGCGAGGAGAGTGCATGACCCCGTGTCACCGTTTCCCTGCTGGAGATGGTGACAACATGTTTGTAGCAGGAACACAGTCCCTGCTCTCAGGCTGGGGTGAGCCAATGGGGACCTGAGGAACAAACAAACACCACTTTTACTCCTCAACAGCAAATACATCTCCCTGTCTGCATAAAGTGAGCATCTGAGGATTACCTGGAAAATGTGGGATTTTGGTACTGGAATTAAGAGTTTAGAGAAATCTGATGAAGCAAGTAGTGTATAGGGCTTGACATAAAATAGACCTGGTAATGAAACTGATAAGGGAAACACCCTTGGGAATCCTGGAATAGAACTTCTCATTGATCTCTTCTGGCATTGAGAAAGAAAAATGCAGGTCTACAGATTGACAAGCACTATGTGAGGAAAAAAATTAGATTACACTCAGGTGATAATCCCAAATCAAAAGGAACTCAGAAAAAGAGAAGTGTCTAAGCCTTTTTGTTTGTAACTGAAATTTACAATCATGGATGTCATTCTCTGAGGACATGACTGTATTGATAATTTCAATCATTAAATTTAAAAGAAAAAAAAACCAACCCAGGAGAACATATACACTGAGTTATCAATAAATTGTTTTCTTTGCCATGCAAAAGAAGAAAAAGACTGCCCAAAACCTTTTTGTTTTTTAATTCTGTAGCATCCTAAGGTAATGCTCTGTGTCAGAAATGTAAATATTTTCCTCAGAGGAGAATACTTTTTTAATCACTCCGAAGATTAATCAGTGGTATGGATTTACCATTAAGAATTTCTTTATTATTTATTAACAGTTTATTAACATTAGAAAAGTCTAATCTGTTTTCTCGCATTAGTTTTCTTTACTAACTTTATCTACATTGGATTGCAAAATTTGGCCCAGCAAACCATCTTTTCAACACATTTGACCCTCACTGATAAGAACATTGATTTTGTTTTAGGGAACCTGGCCTGGCATTTAAGTCTACAGTATCTGATTCCCTTCTCTGACACAAACCTTATGTATGAATTTGGGGCCCTTATTTTTTGGATCTCATTTTCCTTTTTGTAAAATATGACTTTTGGGAAGAGAGTTCCCCAGCTTCATCCTCCAAATAGCTAAAATTCTTCTTCTAGTTTACAGGATGGATGTGATTGGGGTAAGGTTTTATACAATATCTTTATCTAAATATCTCTATTAAATTAAACAATTCTTTTCCTCTCATGGTAGTTAGTTCTTGGATGCTTTACAGACTGCAATTGTCTCTTCTTTCAGTCTGTGTTCTACTGGGCAAGACAAGATTTCCAGCCTTCTGTCATGAGAAAATGCTCCTCTGATCACCTCCATAAACCCCTCCATGCCTCTCTCTTGATGTGAGCTCTTGTGTGCAGTATCCAGATGGGATTTCTCTCTGTTTTGTATAAGAAGTTCCAGTAAGAAAATTTTCAGAAATGCTGGTCCCCTAAAAAAAAAAAAAAAAAAAAAAAAAAAAAGAGGAATTTTTCTGAGCTTGTTCATAGGACAGGTGCTTATGGTATACCAACACCATGTCTGTCAGTCTGTCCTTTACTCCCAACACAGGTCCAGCTGAACAGCCAGAATTTCTTGGGGCACAGCCTAATTAAAATATAAAATCAAACAATATGGAAAAAAAAAACTAACTAAAACAAAAAACCAAAGCCAAAACAGAAGTGTGTGTGAGTTGCTGTATAGCTATTATTTCAGAAGAGTGTTAAGCAAGAAAATGCTTGAAACCATTTTGTGGTTTGAGCATGGGACACCTTTTTTTGCATTGCTCTCCCCTCTGTCCTTGTCCCCCTGTCCATGTTCTGCTCCCCTGTAGCTGCTGCCTGCAGGAACACACTCAGTAGAGGCAAAACTGGCTCAGCCTAGGGCTGGAGGGAGCAGCCGTTCATGGCATCCTGTCAGGGACAGGGCCAACCTGTGAAAGCAGGAGGCTGCTGCCAGGGAGGAGCCAGGATGAAGGTGCAGCTGGTGTGAAGGGCTGCCCCAGCTCTGCTGGGTGCCCTTGGCTCTGTGAGTCTGCTCTGTGCAGGGGAAGCCTTGAGGGGATGCACCTCAATGCAGTTAGCAGGGCAGAATTGATAGTTCTGGTCTGGAGCAAACTGCAGTCTCCAAGAGACAGGGATGACCCACCTTGCTGCTGGTGTGATGTGGGGCTGGGATAAAGGGGAAATGTTAGGGACAGAAGTTGTCAGAGGGGGGCTTCACAGATGGCTGATACTCCTGGGATTTAACTGAGGATATACACTAAAGACACTGCCTAGCGATTGCTGCTCTGATTTACTTTTTTTCTAAAGTTTATTTTGCACTTAAAGTTTGTGAACTGATCTGGCTTAGACTTTAAGATGGTAGCATTATGTCTCCAGATTGAAGCATTTTGTTGTGTCACTCCTTGTTTCTAGTGCCATGACCACAGTCAGAAGGGAGTCACCCATGAAGATTTGTTCATGCAGCTAAGCTAACTTCCGTGGATAAAGTTCAAAAAGAAAAGGTCAGTTATACATGTGTAGTTTTGTTTATGTTTAGTTTTCTGACTTATGAGGAGTCTTTGTGAAGTAATACAAAAAGAATTTTTGTTTGTTTTTTGTTATTTGCAGAAAATACTGTATAGAAATAAGGCTTTTTCTGAAGTTGTATAGAAACAAGCTGGATCCAAACACACTTAAACTGGAAAAAAGAGTGAGATGAATGAGATCAGGTTCTGGTATATCTGGTCTTTTGTCTTCCTCCTAACTTAAGAAGTACACAAAGCTTCATTTTTTGGAAAGATTTAAAGCAGAGCTTCAAACTGACTGTTAGAAGTTGTAGTCTTTTTAACATGCCTCTGGACATCTCATTTCTGTTATTCTCTTATTTTTGTGGGTTTGTTTTCATCTAAGCAGTGGGTCTCCCAGGCTGGCTTTAGGACCTTGCAGGATCTTGAGCTAATAGTCTGCCAATGCCTGTGAATATCTCCATTTTTCAGAGAAGCTTGTTGGGTTGGAATTTTGCTTCTTGGAAAGGTAGGCTCAGGTGCATACCAAAAGGTTTCTGCCTTGTGACTGTTTCAGACTCACTGTAGTCTTTCCTTGATCTATATAACCATCTCACAAAAGCAATATTAAGAATATGTGTAGCTCAAATTCCTGCATTTTTTTAATATCAAAAATGAATAAATTTTGCTTGTCCCTTTTGGTCTGATCCAAAAGGTTCCCATGGGGTTTAGATCAGGCCTGGTGGTGTTTTGGGACAAACCATGTTCTGACACATAGAGTTAATGGAATTAACCTGGGAAAGGTTTTAGTCTGGTTTAAAGTCTCTTGTTTAAAATACTTACTTTTAGTAGGGAGGAAACTGGAGTTGCCTGTTTTTTTAGGAGTGCTTTATTACTGTTACCCTTATTCCAAATCAGATTGCTCTTCAGTATTTAGCTGCATCTTGTGCTGACATTAAATAAACATAAAACCCCACTTGGAAACACAGGAGAGTATTTTGCTTTCTGGATCCTACTCTAGATGAAGTTCCTGGGTACCTTGCACTCCCAGGTATCTAATACCAGCAACACTGTACCACAAGATGAATGTACCTGACCCCAGGTAGAACAAAACTGCACTTTGTCCTTGAACATCAAAATTACTCCTCTGTGGCAGGAGCTTATATAAAATAGGTTTCTTGGTTCTCTTTTCATGCCATCAACTCTTTCTTCTTCCACTAAAAGAATAAAGAATAAAGGTCAGAAAAAATGGATACTAAACTGCAATTGTAAATACAAACACAAACTTTATTTGTGTGACTCCTTCTTTTGCAGAAACGTCTACCCACAAAGTCAAAATTGAGGCCAAAATGTCTCAGAAAAGACCAATTATCCCAAGTCTTGGCCCATTGTTCATCTCTTTTCCACGCCAAGCAATTCTTTGCTACTGAATTATTTACTGAGAAGGAGAATCAGCTTTATTCATCAGAGGAGCATTAGAATCCAACAGGACTGTGAATACATATTTAAAATGTTTACTAGTGTGCTTGAGGATATTCATTTAAAGCCTTTAGAGACGAGGTTGTTCATTACAACTTCAAATGAGGTTTACCCTAACTGTTTTTTAACTTTCCAGATGCTTGTCTTGGCTTTTTGTTCTGCCCTGAGTGCGTGGCTTTTTGTTTTGTGCTGAAGGTATCAGAAGCAAGATGTTATCTGTGATATGAGATTACCTTATGTGGACATGGTGTGTGGTATTTTAGGCTTGAATTTATCCATGTTAGATGATGGAGGGGAATTCCATTGAATTCCAGTGAGGGGGGAGGAAATTCCAATTCTCCTGCTGTTTAAGGCTGCAGTGTCATGGTTGCAATGGCTTTGGAATATTATCCTACTATGCTTGAGAAGCATATAATAGCACTACACTGGATGTCTTGCTCATTAAATCACTCTTGTAGATATTCTGCTTCTGGTGCAATCAGAGATAAACAGTGCTAATGCTTCCTCATAGCTATTAGCATTTCAAAATCTTACACTTCAAACAGCTCCTTCCCATTTCCTCAAGATATTCAGAGTCTTGTTTTGGATTACTTCTCAGAATGGAACACAATGAAATATTTATTAAGCTTTCTGGAGAAGCTCTGGAGGCAGGATTTATTAATAGTGAAAATTCATTACTGATGCTGTTGTTCTCAACTGATAACAGGTTTTATGCCTCTGTATGTTATATTTTTGCTTTTTAAAAGGTGACATAGCTTGCAACAGCTAACTATCAAAAACCTTTCTCTGGCTCCTGAGCTGGCAGAAGACTGAACCCTCTTTGTTTAGGGTTAACAGCCAAATCTCCTGACCTGTGCCTATAAACTCAGCTCTGCTTGGATCAGCTAAGGCAAAACAATTTATGTAGACTGCTGTTCACATATTTCTCTCAAGGCTGCTTCTGATTGTCCAGATCTGACTTATCTTTTTATGGTTTGCATCTTAACACCAATACTTCACAGAAGTATCTCCATCTGCTCTGCCTATGCCTCTGCCATTCAGTTCCCTGTGTCCCAGTACAGCAGTCCATGATCCAGCACTTCCAGTGGTACATGATATGACTGAGATCAGGGGCATTGCAATTTTGCTGGGGTGGAAATAGATGGGCTTTGTTATTGCTGAGATGCTGGGCAGAGCTTCTCTTCCAGGAAAACTAGGTTTCTTTCTGAACTGCTTACCTTAATTTTACATTCTTACCACACATTTGAAGCACCTGTGGCTAAAGGGACCCTTTTAGAGATTAAGTGGTGCAAAGCTTACCCTTCCTGGTGGCCAGAAACTCTTATGTGTCATCTTAAAGACTCCAGACTGTGGGGCTCAGGGCCCACCATGATGTGGTAGGGATTAAGGCATTTGTGTGAAACATTCTTTGTATAAAAGGATAACAGTCCTCAAACACATTGATGTTAAATCCTTTGGTTTACATTGGCAATCCCAAGTATATAATTGCATTTCAGTACAAATTGCTTGTTGCCTTTAAATACAGTAAGTAAATCCCACATAAAACTCACTGTTCTGAATGCAAAGTATTTTAAGTCAGTGTTTCTAAAACAACAACTCCCAGTGCTCCATCAGCAGTGTGATCTGAGCAGGCTTTGCCTTCCTATAACCTGCAGAGGATGAGAGAGTGGGCAGAGACCTGATCCTTCTCAAATCCACCTGTCTCATCTAGAAGAGGAAAAACCAGCATAATGTGTAATAATATTACAGGACTATAAGCCAAAGCCTGGTCTTCTCTTCTGATTTCTTTTCTCACAAATAACATAAGTTGTTTTCTTGTCCCCAAATTGCCTTCAAAATACACTTTCTTCCAGTAAGAGGCACAGAACCCTTTTAGAAAGCAATGCCAGCAAACCATATGCTGCCTGGTTTTTATTAAAGATACATTCTGATGAAACCCCTCACCTTAAACCAAACCTTTTCTGTCCTGGGTGGGCTGGAAGTCTGTACTTGATGATTGCAGTTGGTAAAACACAATCCACAGTGACGTGATCAGAGTTGTAGCACATAAAATCACCACACCTCACTGTCTAGTTTGTGATGAGAAATTACTTGCTGAAAGGAAATGTTCTGTTGTGCCCCAAAGTGAATGATGGGTTATTGGCAAACCTACAGAAAATTTCTTTGAGAAATACCTTGTTAGAGTAGCTGAACTGTCAGTAAGGAGAAGGATGGAGGGGTTTGTTATCTATATGGACTTCTTTTATTCCAGCTCCTTGTTCTGTCTTGATGTTTGCTAGTTTGCTACCTGCCTACTATTAAATTATTTTATCTGAGAACAATAGGGTTAGTTGGAACCCAGAGATCTCTCTGCTCCTCCCTCTGCTGTGGAGAGGGGATCCCTTAGTAATTACCACTGAAATTGCAAAAGACCAAAGCCTTTACCTCTCATTAATGTCCAGATCTGTTTTGACTTATTTTTCTCACTTTGTCTAGATTTAATTAGAATTTTAAAGAAAACGCAGCTTTATGGCTGTAATAATCACACAGGAATAATTTCTGAACCTTGCTATGAGTTTTGCTGCTCCTTATTGAGCAGTACTGCCGCAGCAAGTCTCCTCTTCCTTGGGCAATTATCTCTCGGAACGTTTTCACGCCGAGTGTGAGCAGCAGCCAGAGGAGAGCCGAGAGCCCGGAGGCCGCGCTCGTTGCCGATTACGGGGTGCTGAGAGCCCCGAGGCCGCGCTCGTTGCCTGTTGCGGGCAGTGAGAGCCCCGAGGCCGCGCTCGTTGCTGATTACGGGGTGCTGAGAGCCCCGAGGCCGCGCTCGTTGCCGGTTGCGGGCAGTGAGAGCCCCGAGGCCGCGCTCGTTGCCGATTACGGGGTGCTGAGAGCCCCGAGGCCGCGCTCGTTGCCGGTTGCGGGGTGCTGAGAGCCCGGAGGCTGCGCTCGTTGCCGGTTGCGGGGTGCTGAGAGCCCCGAGGCCGCAGTCGTTGCCGGTTGCGGGGTGCTGAGAGCCCCGAGGCCGCAGTCGTTGCCGATTCGGGCGTGCGAGCGCGGTGGGCCCCGAGCCCTCACGGAGCGGGGCCCCGAGCCCTCACGGAGCGGGGCCCCGAGCCCTCACGGAGCGGGGCCCCGAGCCCTCACGGAGCGGGGTGCTGAGAGCCCTCACGGAGCGGGGCCCCGAGCCCTCACGGAGCGGGGCCCCGAGCCCTCACGGAGCGGGGCCCCGAGCCCTCACGGAGCGGGGCCCCGAGCCCTCACGGAGCGGGGCCCCGAGCCCTCACGGAGCTGCGCTCGCTGCTCCTGCTGCCGACAGGAGACAAGTTATTACCATATAAATGAGATAAGGTCTCGGATAATTGCAGGCTGAAAGTAAAACTGAACTGGACTGCTCGTGGTTGGAAATTTTAAGTGTATCTTTCTACATCAAATTTTTAAACTTTTTTTAAAGAGTATTTTACTTTTTTTTTTCCTTCCACCTATTAGCGGAATCTATGGAATGACATAAAGAGCCCTTATGTTTTCCAGTTGTGACTATTTTGGACCTGGAACTTTTC